GGGGGCGGCGGAGACCCACGGCGACACGTCGGTGGGGTACTTTCCGTGCGCCGAGAATAGGGCACTTCTCTCGACCGGGGGAGCGCACGCCTCGGGGGGGGGGAGGCTGATAGGGCTCCTAAGTTTTGTTTTTTTTCCAAGTTTGTGGGATGGAAAATGAACACAAAACCCACAAACACGCACACACACAAACAGACAGGCGATTCGGAAACGCCAACCGGGCGGAAGCGACTCTCGGAGGTCGCGCCAGACGAAGAAAATCGCGGAGAGATTTTTATATATTTTTTTTTTTTAAGGCGAGGTTTAAAACTTCAAAACACCTCATTTCCCTCCACCCCCCCGGCAGCAAAACACTAGGGGTGTGGAGGGGGGGCTCCCCGTACCGACGGGACCCGGAGTTTGGAGTGATCTTACCTGCAGTTTCGTTAGGAGTTTTCCTTCGGTTACGACACCCCCCTCCGTCTGCGCCCGGACTCTGTGGTACAATAAACCGGCTCGCGTGTGCGCGCACGGGGCGGGAGAAGGCGCGCCCCCCCCCCGACTCTCGCCCGAGGAAACGAGCGAGGGGAGGGAGCGGGGACGCGCATGGGCAACGCCTGCGCGGCCACGCCGTGGAGGAGGGCCGTGCGTGAGGGGAGCGTCGCCGCGCACGGATTCATGAGCCCGTGAGGGTCGTGGAGAGACAGTGTTGGGGCTGGTGCAGAAACGGGGTGACCTTCTTTACGGAGAAACTCGCAATCGTTTTGGTTATTGACGCGTTCCTAATATTTTGTTGTTGTTTTTTTTTTTTTGCCGTTTCGAGCCTGGAGTCCAACAGCGGGTGTTGTGTGTTTTTTTTTTTTAAAAAAAACTATATGAAGTGGTAATTTTAAGGCTTTATGAAACTCGTTCAAGAAACACGACCAAACCGTGTAATGCATCGCCCCCTCGTGTCCAGTTCCGAGAACGCACGGCAGTGAATCCTTCCCAGTCCTGCCTGTTACTGGACAGGAGCAGCTACCTTCAGGCCCCTGGAGTCTTCTTCATTTGAACCGTTGTGCGGACTAGACCCAGTTGGACTCGGCTCTTGAAGACTGACGTTACGTAGTAGACTAATAATTAAAGTTAATAATAACGGAAAAAATGAATGCAGAAATATCAGCAAGCTAAATAACAGGCGGTATGTCATTCTTTGTCACACCGAATTTAACTGGCGCCATGCAAACAAAATTAATTGCTGGTTTTGGACCGCATAGGGGAGACTAAGCGTTTGCCCTCAAGCAAATACATGAACCTCTTTTTCTAGTCCAAAACAGCAGATTTGGTTAAAAAAATAAATAAATAGCGCCGCACTTTCCACTTCAACTCGTTTTCTTTATTCAACTTTTTTTTGAACAATAAAAACTCGAATTTTGCCGTGACGTAGACATTTCCGGCGGCTGCGTGTGACGAATCTGCGATCCCGGAGCAGGGGGCTGCTGCTGCTGCTGCTGCGTTGCTGCGGCAACCGGGGAGGCGGGGCGCTGCGGCCTGGTCGCGGCTCACAGCCTGTCGGGAGGCCCGGTGGCGCAGGGCTCCGGCTTCTGCTGAAAGAAAAAAACAAACAGTGATGGAAGAGCCGTGGGACTTCGAGTTCTTGTCGCGGCTCCTGGACGGCCTGATGTCCTTCGTGTCGGAGTTCGTGAGCGACTGGCTCGCCAACGACGTGAGGGTGGCGATTTTCAAGATCCTGCTCGGCTGGTTCGTCTTCAGCCTGGTCGCCATCCACTTCGCCTGGAAGGTCTACGGCCCCACCGTCAACGACATGTACTACCGGCAGGGTGAGTGTCTCCCCGTGAGGGCTGGCGGGCTGCTGGGCTGCTCTGACCCCCCTCTACCCCCCACTCGATCGGCAGACAGACGCGGAAATGTGGGACATGATAACCAGGAGGGACGCGACCCTGCATTATTGTCACTGTCCGTCTCTTGCTTGTGACAGTTAGCTGACCGCTACTCTACGAGCGAGCATACGTTATGGTGCATGTGTCGATAGTTCTTGTGTGAATGACTCGGATGTCTTTAGAAGACGTAGTTCTTAGAGCAGTGTAACGCTGTTACCCTGAGCAATGCTAGGCGAAGGCAGCAGACGGGTCCGTCTCGTCCAAATTTATAATAATAATAATAATAATTGCTTACACTTATATAGCGCTTTTCTGGACACTCCACTCAAAGCGCTTTACAGGTAATGGGGATCCCCTCCAACACCCCCACCAGTGTGCAGCCCCACCTGGATGATGCGACGGCAGCCATAGTGCGCCAGAACGCTCCCCACACACCAGCTATCAGTGGGGAGGAGAGCAGAGTGATGAAGTCAATTCATAGATTATATAGTGTAAATTATACACTACTTTACAGCGGACGAGATGTTCCGAGTCCAGCAGCACCCGAATCCGGCTGCCGTGGCAGATTCTGTGCACGCAGTCCGCAGCGATTATCCAGACACCCGGGAAAAAAGTGCTTTTTGCGGTTTGTCCCAAGATAATCCGAAAAGGGGGATCTCAAAAAGTTGTACCGAATGGCTCAATTGCACAGACGTCTTAAAACTCATTGCTGCTCAGATGTAATCTGCGAAACATTACATCAAAGATAACATGTCATCTTTACGTGTTAGGGGGACTGCAGGAAAAAGACTTGTATTAAAACGATGCACAAAGATTTGCGGTAGGTTTGCAGCACAAGCAGCTCTGCCCTTGACTAAGAAATGAATTCACACTGGTGAAGAAAACGCCGTCGACCCCTTGGAGACCAGTTTATTCCAAAACAGCTGTTATCATCTTTGTGGTCTTGCACATTAGCTCCTGCTGTGACAGAAAAGCTGCCACTATTTTAAATATGTACACTGCACTCATTCCACAACTCAAGGTGTTAACAGGTAGCAGCAGAGGATACTCCCCTCCACCCCACCAGTGTGCAGCCCCACCTGGATGATGCACCAGTCCGCTCCCCACACACCAGCTCTCAGTGGGGAGGAGAGCAGAGTTATTTATTATCAGAGATGGGGGTTATTAAGGAGGCCATGATTGGTAAAGGCCAGGGGGAAATTTGCCCATGACACAGAGGTAACATTCCTACTGTTTTTGAGAAATGTCCTGGGATCTTCAAATACCACTCAGATTCAGGACCTGGGTTTTATGTCTCATCTAAAGGAAGGCGCTATTCTGGCCCCACTAACACCTCTTCCAGCAGCAACCTTAGTGTTTCCCAGGAGTCTCCCATGCAGGTACTGATCAGGCCCACGCCTGCTGAGCTCCAGTGGGCTGTCAGCTGGGAGTTTCAGGGTGAGATAGGTCTTGTTTTAAATCTAAATCTAGAATCACATTTCAAATTCCAAACCAGCTGTACGGCTGTCCTTGATTTCGTAGCGTGCTTGTGGAGGGATATTGTGAGGGTGCTGGTGCCCCAGCGCTCAGTCCTGTTTCTCCCCTCTCTGCAGGGACTGGAGGCCAGAATGGGGGGACTCCGGAGGTGGCTCCTCATCTCAGCGGCTGGTGGGTGTGCGCTGCCTGTATATTTCCGACCGTAACTGGAATGCACTTATAGTGTAATAATAATAAAGAACAAGGAGGTCAGTTCTTTAAATAATAATAATAATAATACGATTATTATTACAAGAAGGTAGCTGCGTCAGCATGCGTAGGCTGCAAAGGAAAGAAAAGTGAAACAAGGTTTCGGCTGTGACACCCGAAGAAAGCTCCGAAACGTTTCTTCTCTTTTCCTCATGGAGTAAACCTTTACTTGTTCCTTTGCAGTCTGTGCATGCTGACGCAGCCCCCTACTTGAAATAATAATAATAATAATTGTACAGGTGGGGAGCTGGGTCAGCATGCCTGGTCTGCAAAGGAACAAGTAATAGGTTTATTCCATGCTGAAAAGAGGAGAGAGAAAACACAACGTTTCGGCTGTGAAGCTGCACTCAGTATTGCAATATTATTTTTCTTCTTATTAAGGAACTGACCTACTTGCATGATTTTTGCTCAGGGTTGCGAGAGCAGATTCTGAGAATCGGAGGGGTACAGGCTGCAGTATAGGAACGTGCAGCCCTCAGTCCTCTTCCCAGTGTTGCCCTTGTCACCGGACACTGTCCTCTGTCCCGCAGGGAGGGGGTGGCAAGCGGAGATGCTTTCAAGACGCACCGGGAGTGAGCAGGTCCCCGCCCACGCCCTGCTTCTGGCCAACAGGATCGCGGCACCTGGTGCCTTCGACCAATCAGACGTGCGGGGGGACAGCGGTCCTTGTCCTCTGCCAGCCGCCCCTTTTTTCCAGCGTGCAGCGGGCCTGCTGCCTGTCCGGACTGCCATGTGCTTGTTGTGTGGGGGGTCCAGGGTTTCAGGCTTTATTCTCTGTGCAGCAGTGACCTGGTCGGGGTTAAACAGGAGGATAGCCGGGCTGCGCTCCAGCGTGATGTATGCGCACCCCTCTGCATCAGTGACGAGCCCGTGTCCTTTGACACCCGGACGCCCAGCCCCATCGTACACGGGAGTAACTCTGGAGTAACAGTCTTGGGGTTGCGTTCTGTTGCTCTGTTACTCTCTTTTCTTTGCCTTTTTTTTTTGTCCGTGGCTCAAATCTTGTGTGTGTTCTGCTTCAAAGAAAGTTGGGCACCACCGCCAGGCTTGCAAGACCTCCATTCTCTCCCCCAGTGTCTTATTTCTTTGTCATATTTCTGCCTGAGCTGGTTTTCCACTCTCTACCCTCCCTGCCTGATCGACATGATGTGATCTGGATGCTTTTCCAGAAGAATAAAAACTGGGGCACTATGCACTAGCTGGGGCAGACGTCCAGTTAACTGCAGACACATTTGATATTTGGTGTTCGACGTGTAGTCGACATTAAACATTTTTTGTGTGCACCTGACCTCTTCTGTGGTGTAATAAAATACAGATGGCAGAGATGCTTAAACTGTGTTTTTTTTTTGTCTTTTTCTGTTAAGAACTCCGTGTCCCTATAATAAACTCCACAGTATTTGAGTTTAGAAAAGGTGGGGTGGACTTAAGAAGATGGAATATGGATAAATACTTGTGCCCCCTGGTGGCCATTCAGTTTTCTTAGCAGGTGAGGAAGAAAGTGACGATAATTGGCTGTTCAACTGTTAGAGAGTAAGAGTTTAGGTGTTCCTGAGCACTTCTCAAGAAACACATGCAGGTGTTCACCGGATTAGGGTATTTAATGAACACCAGGACATGCGATCCAGCCGTCGAGTGCTGAGTCCACACCTCATCTCTACATGACTGGAGTTGTCTCCTGCAGGCGTGTGTGGTATAGACCTCAAACAAAGCGTTCCTGCATCTGTGTTTTTACACAGATTAACATTTTTAAAACTGCAACACACATAACCTGAAATGGTAAAGCGGTACTACTGTGCCTATGGACTTTGTAGTTCGGCGTACAAGAAATGAGCCTGTAGTTTACCGAGCTGCTTGTATGAATTCATTAAGAATAAATGTGTATGATTTAAATATTGCCTTTAAGTTGTTGGGAGTTCCCTGCCCTTTCATTCTGCATACCCACATTCTTTTAACGTTCAACCTTCTGTGCAAGAGGAACACTCTGTAAACGGGTCCCACTTGCTGTATCAGTTATAACCATTATAACCACACAGGAGGGCTGTGGTGATCCTTCAGGCCCTCAGAGAACGGGCAGCAGTGTAGCCGTGTGCCTTTTTACACACAGCAGCCGTAAATGTGCCCAAAATGGAGGAGAACACACATTCAGTTAATGAAATTGAAAACAGGCGTAAAATGGACTAGTCTATAATAAAGTCCAAAAAATGAATTTATTATTTGTATTGGGGTTCTTACATTTAACAGGACAGATATTCATTCCGAGGCAGGTGTTGGTAACTTCATTGTAAACGTGATTGTTCCGAGAATTAGACAACACGTCCGCACGATGCGCGTCTCTCTGACAAAGACGTGATCCAGCGCCGTGACTCGTGCGGACACACCCAGACTGGGGGCTTTTGCCCTTTTTTTTTTTACCCATGCTGCACTGCTCTGCGCCCCCTCTCCCAGCCCTGCAGGAGGCGCCGCGCCCCCTAGCTGGCGGGGAGCAGCAGCACGTGGACGTCCATCACGTTGGTGCCGGTGAGGCCGGTGCGGAGCAGCCGCCGCCCGCCCGAGAGGCGGGAGAAGAAGG